ATTCGAAATGGCCACGGATAAATTTGACCACGTTCGTAATGGCCACGTTCGTAATGGCCACTCGTTCATAACGACCACGTTCGAAACGGCCATGTTCGAAACGGCCACGTTTGGAACGGCCACGTTCGGGGCGGCCACGTTCGGGGCGGCCACGTTCGGGACGGCTACGCTCGGAATTAAACAATGACAGTCTACACAATCAAGAAGTACACTTAATCGACACTTCTTCGCTGTGGTCACACACACACACACGCGCAGGAGGGGTGCAAGGGAGGGCCTTCGGTCTCCCCTCCCGCACCCGCCGGTAGGAATGCCCTGGGCAGAAGTGCGTCAGGGCACCCCTACCGGCGGGGTGAGTGTGGGAGGGGGGGGACCGAAGGCCCTCCCTTGCACCCCTTCCACGTGTGTCTGTGTGTGACCACAACTACTTCTTGATTGTGTAGACTGTCAATGTTTAATTCCGAGTGTGGCCGTTTCGAACGTGGCCATTCCGAACGAGTGGCCATTACAAACGAGTGACCATTACGAACGAGTGGCCATTTCGAACATGGTCAAATTATATCCACTTTTTTATTGGCTATAGATTATCTGAAGATGAACTTAAGATGATCTTAAATATAAGATCGGACTATAAATATCGGCCTTAAACTTCAATCAACGTACAGAAAAAATCGTAAGAGCCTCCGCACAAGATGTTCCGTACCGCATTACGTTACGTTAAGTATCGTTAAGTATAGAAAAAATCTTAACGTAAGACATGTCTTTGCGATTTTTTCTGTGCGTTGACTGAAGTTTAAGTTTACGTACGGAATTAAATTTACCATTGATACTTAACGTAACGTAATGCGATACGGAACATCTTGTGCGGAGGCTCTAACGTGAAGACATATCTTTACGTTATGATTTTTTCTGTGTGTTGATTGAAGTTTAAGGGCCGTGGCACACGAAAAAACGTAAGCAGTGAAACGTAATCAGTAAGGAAATCGGAATTTTTACGTTTTCTTACGTTTTATGGAACGCGCGGAGCCAACCTGATCAATCACAGCCATTTCGTTTTTTTTCCGGCACTTTTTCTATTTTCCTAATGTCCCATGGACCGGAATAAGCGGAAATAAATCAGGCGGAATGATAAAGAAGATTGCTTTTTTATGTTATTTTCAATATTTATAATAATTAGAATAATATTTTATACAAATAAAATAATATATGATAAAGTAATTAACAATCAAATTTGTTTTTTCTGTAAAATATTCTTAACATAAATGTAGAACTACTTTACGATTGGTTGAAATCTAATTCCGCTACCGCGTTTACCGCTTTATGGAACATTAGGAGAAATACATCAGCGGAAACATAACCGCATCTTTACATGCTTCTGCATGTGTCTTTCTACGTACACAGTATTAATTAATTATGAACGAAGTAAGTATATAAAGTAAATAAAATGTTAATAATTTGATAGTTATAATAAATATTAAAATAGATATTAATGTATAAAGTATGAATATATTTACAGAAAATAAAATGTGGTTACTGTGGCTGGATAATAAGTAGCTCATGTACCAATATTGAGCAGCATAAATGTTTTAGAAATTATAATGCTGCAAGAATTGCGGTTAGAATAAATTATCCGTTCATACCGCAGATTTTAGCGGTAAAATTATAGCGAAATGGTTCAAAAAGAAACGGAATGGCCATGATTGGGAGTTGGCTCCGCGCATTCTGTTCCATTGAATATTTCCGCTCCATGGGACTCCGGCCTAAAGGCCATCACACACAAAATTGCATAGCTATAGATAGCATAGCTGCATATGCATAGCATAAGATAATATGGACCAATCGAGCATCAAATATTATGTTATGTAAGTCAATATGGCGACTTAATACTCGATGCTCATTGGTCCATATGGTCTTATGCTATGCATATGCAGCTATGCAATTTTGTGTGTGATGGCTTTAAGGCTATAGCACACACTTTCCATAAGACATAACAATAAGGTTTCGACCAATCGCGTTGCTCAATTTGGTTACGGACGGCCAAATTGAGCAACGCGATTGGTCGAAACCTTACTGTTATGCTTATGGAAAGTGTGTGCTATAGCCTTTACACTGTTTTTTCTTCTTTAAAATGATCAGAACATATACATACTCCCATAGGAATGGATGATGCATCTAATTTTAAAATGTCAATCCACAAGTTGGGGGGGTCTTTTGGAATGCTGTATAGATTAGAACATTTACAATTATAATTATTAAATATTAATATTTAAATAAGCGCGCATATACACACATACACACACACACATATACATATATGTATATATATATATATATATATATATATATATATATATTGTGACCGTTGATTTTACTAATCAGGGCTGATATTGAGATCTGGCCGGTGTTATTGGCCCACGGCACATCTTCAGCGCGAATTTTGCTCAATTTTATCCTCCAAAAGTTTTTGGGCGCCAGGTGCGGTAATCCGCACCACTTCAAAAAAGTAATTCGATATCTCGCTGGAATAAACACAGAAAATGCTACTCCATTAATCGCGACGGACGCTCGGCTAGCCTCGAAAATAGCAGAGGGGGCGGTTCGTTTTAATAATTAACAAGGAAGGATCGAGAATACAAGGTGGCTGCAAAATAAGACAAAAGATTAGAATAACAATAATGAATATATTTAACAAATAGATAAAGTTTAACGAGACAGATTCACGTGGATATTACAAGATGTTTTACAATCGGTTATAGCGAATTTTTCCGGCAGCAACGGACCGTCATGCGAGCGCGATCACCGCGGTATCACGTGTCGCGCAATAGAAAAAAACAGCGTAAGAAAGTTTGGAATGTTGCGCTGAACGAGACGTCACAAGGTCTCGGCCGCTACAAATTCCGCTTGGATTATTAATAATAAATACCGCGATGATGCTTCTAATTATGACATCCATCTGTTATAAGCCGAAAGTATTAAATAATGACGGTAGTTAAATTCGTCAAACGCGATGTTAATAGAATCGATTATTCACGTAAGTCGATCAGACAAATATAGAGAATTACGGTAATAACGGAAGAATAGAACGACTAGATAATTATACAAGATAGACGATTGAACATAAGCGCGAAAAATTAACGGTAATATAATCTCAAAAGCGTAAACAATAAATTATAATAAAGGTCAAACGAGTCACATCGCAGGGATACGCGACTCGATGCCGCGACGCATTTACCGGCTATCAAATATCGCGATCGCCTTTGTATGTGAGTTCGTCGTATCGCAAGCTACTTTACACAAAATTTTCAAACAACAATAATCGCCAAAAGAAAAGACAATACATTTGACTGTCGGCGCTTAACCGGAAGAGAGGGCACTTAATATTATCGTAACTCGAACAAAGGATATCGGCCGGCCGTCGCACTCTACTACGCAATTATCGAAACTCAGATTACTTTCGAATAAAGAAATTTTTACGGCAACAATTCGGCACAGACTCTGTTCGAGCTAATTCTACCTGATATTTTACGATAAAACGGCCTGAGGAGGTCGACGCTCGTCTCACCGATGATTCCTTGATGTCCTTGGCTCTCTCGGCATCCACACGGAAAAGCGATAAATCGATCGATTTGGGTCGTCGTCCTCGCACGGCAGTCCGCCGAACAGTGACGAGCGGAAGGCCCGTCGGAATCGTGCCGGCAATTAATTCGTAACTAGGCCACTTGTGGCGCTTCCGCAACCCTCAGGATCGTCGCGGGTCTCAATTACTCCTGTGGCCTTCAAGGCCGTATTTGCGCCTGTCGCAACCCTGTTTCCTCTCAGGATTTCCTTAGTTTTTCAATTGCAGCTCGGTGTGAGGTATCTTTCCGGTAGCCGCTCGCCATTACTTTTATGGTTTTTCGGTAGCGCTTAATCCGGCCGAACTAGCTCCGTTTCGGGATCCCCGCTATTGTTCCTCATACCTGCTGGTCATGGAGATTTACAGGGGCGGCAGCGATAGTCTTAGATGGATGTTTTAATTTATAAATGCGGATATGGATACTTAGCTCGGCATTCTCCTCCTAATCGGCGCCTCCGCTCGTCCCTTGCGTCTTCTAATCTGGTTTTCTTTGCTGTGTCGAGACACCGGATGAGATCTCGTCATGTCCTCCCTCACATTCGCTCAACTCTACTCTTATAATTAACGCTACAAAAAAGGGGAAGGCGAGCCTACCCTTGCCTCCAATATTCGCTCTCCCTCCTTAAATCAGGGGAGAATGAGGGCCCAAAACGATACCGGTCAGATCTTCTTGTAACGGACCGCCAAGTGTCACGTCACAACTCCCCACTCCTAGGAGAGGACCGAGGAGGTCTTGGCTACCGGCCAGCGTCGACAGCCGTCAGTTACCTCATATTTCTAAATCCTAAACTCAAATCTCAAAATTAATCCGCTCTTCATGACAGTCAATTCGCGCGTCCAGTCAACTCCATTAAAACAAAACATGCCTTACGATACCATAAGCAGGCAATTACAAAACCAAAAGCAAAATACGAGACTTTATCAAAAACTGTTTCCTTGACAGTGTGGCGGTCAATCAATTATGGACAAAAATCTGGACAAGAAATTGGACAGAACATCCGGACAAAATTCTGGACACACGCATTTATTAATCATTACTTCGGAGTTGGCAACAGTGCCACTCCGGCTCAACGGAAGCAAAGCGTTGAACACCCTTCTTCTCGTGAAAACTTCCGAAGGGAACGCACGTGTAATAATCGCTTGTTATATTGAATAAATTGCTTATTGTTGAGTTAAGTTGGTCTTTATTTTGACACATAGTTTTTGAACACGTAACAATCGCTACAAATTGGTGACCCCGACGTGATCCGGAAGGCTAACGCGTCGGAGTACGCGATAACTCCAACATTAAAAATCGGAGCGGACAATTCGGAGAACGATTACTTGTCCATTTTTATTCGTGCCGTGTGACTTGCTTAGAGATCGCTAGCTTAAGCAGCACATGATGCCGACCGGACGATCGCCACCGCGTGCGGCAGGTAGCGCGGAATATAATCGCCCTGAAGAACCCGCACGGGAAGATGCACCAATTGGTGCAGGCGAAACGCGCCACGTGCCACGCCGACCGTTCACGCCGACATGGCCAGCAGCTGAGCAGGCATACCCCGGCGAAGCCGCACTCCTGACGACGCGCCATATTAAGTTACCGCAGCCATTCTGGAAAGAAATGCCCGCTCATTGGTTTCAGGTAGCCGAAGCCACCTTCGCACTTCAGAAAATAGCGAGCGATGAAACCAAATACAGGTACGTGATGACCAATTTGGATCCGTCGGTCATACCGTTCGTCGCAGATTTAGTTGCGAACCCGCCGCAGGTTAATAAATATGAAGAATTAAAAGCGCGCATAATTAATTCGTTTGAGGAGACGCAAGAGTCAAAGCTACGGAAACTTTTACGCGGACAAGAGATCGCCGACAAGAGACAGTCGCATTTTTTACAACGCCTCCGACGTCTCGCGGGAGGCCAGTGCACAGATTCAATTATCCGCAACCTCTTTTTAGATCAATTGCCGGAAGCCGCGCGTGGAATTTTAGCCGTTAGTTCCGTAGACGATCTCAATAACCTTGCATTGATGGCCGACAAGGTCGTCGATATTATTAAACCATCCGCGATACAAACAGTGAAAACGACCGCTGTCGCTCAAGATCAACCGGTATCGACACAAATACGCGAGTTGCGCGAAATGGTTGAAAGGCTAACACTTGAAATGCGCCAAGGACGCTCTCGTAGAAGAAATACATACCGTAACTACCGCGGCCAATCGAATTCAAGGAGTAATTCTAGGTCGAGAAGTTATCGAAATACAGACAACTATAATCGTAACTATTGTTATTATCATAATAAATTTAAGGACAACGCTACTAAGTGCGCGAAACCGTGCACAAACCAGCTATTACGCAGCCGGAAAACTAAATGCCCGGACGCGAACGGAGGTAAACGCGCTCGCGGGCAGCACTAAACGCCGCCTCCTCGTGAAGAATAGACGTAGTGGAGCATCATTCCTCGTCGACACAGGAATGTCTGACGTCTCCGTTCTCCCTCGTCGATGGGCCCTGCAACGCGGAAGAAACGTAAATATACATCTGTATGCTGCAAATGGCACAAGGATTAAAACTTTCGGTGAACGTACCTTAGAGCTAAATTTAAACCTCAGGCATAGTCTTGTGTGCCCGTTCATTGTTGCTAAAGTCGAACAGCCAATTCTTGGAACAGATTTCTTCTACCATTACAACCTGATGGTCGATATTCGGGGCATACGACTCATCAATGGAATAACAAATCTATATACAAATGGCAAAATTAGTATTAAGAAAGTGCAATTTATATCTACGTTAAGTAATGATTTACCCTATCAACAGCTACTGCAAGAATTTGTGGACATCACTCGCCCGGTGATGCAGAAGGTACCAAAACATGGCGTCGAGCACGTCATCCAGACGCGCGGACCGCCCGTCTCGGATCGCCCACGACGACTTTCGCCAGGACGACTTAGGTTCGCCAAACAGGAAGTCGAGCGCTGGATTAAGGCCGGCACTTGCCGCCCAGGCAAGGGACAATGGTCAAGCGCCATGCACCTAGTTAAGAAAGGAAATGGTGAATGGAGAATATGCGGTGATTACCGCCAGCTGAATAAGGTAACCATATCTGATAAGTATCCTATTCCGCATATACAGGATTTTTCTCAGCGATTCCATGGCTGCCAAACGTTCAGCACGCTCGACCTGGCCAGAGCATATCACCAGATCCCAGTAGCTGAACAGGACAAACAGAAAACAGCGTTAACTACGCCATTCGGCTTATACGAATTTAATGCAATGCCATTCGGATTGCGGAATGCTGCACAGACATTCCAACGCTTCATGGACACAGTCTTGCGAGGAATGGATTTTTGCTTCTGCTACATCGACGACATACTAGTAGCATCAAAGTCCGAAGAGGAACAAACAGCACCTAAGAAAAATATTTACAAAACTAAGAGAATTTGGCTTGACTATTAATGTAGATAAGTGTGCATTTTTCAAGACAGAAGTTAATTATTTAGGTTGCACAATATCAAGCCAAGGCACTAAACCGCGGAAAGAGCGAGTAGATGCAATATTACGTTATAAAAAACCGCAGATTTGACTTCATTTGAAATTAAGTATAAAAGTATTAAGATAAGATAATCGAAAAATGAATATTTTACTAGATATTTTACGACTTGTGTAAAATTAAGAAATGATTTCAAGCCTCATAACTCGAAAACTACTTAATGAAAACGAACTTATAGTATAATTATAGTATTTCGGAAAGCTCTCGAGATGAACTAAAAAAATATGCAAAAGCATATAGGATGTCCCATTTAAAAAGTTGGATGTGATCTTCACGTAACCTTCAGGTGACTTTTCAATGTCAAACCAATGACACCACCTTATGTTCCCCTTCAAGCCATACAACTTTTGTCTGAAACATTTTTTTGTAGCTGGCGTAGTTTAGGAGAAATTTGGATCCATCGATTAAAATGGGACACCCTGTATATAATAGTCTTAACATCACGGAGCGCCGCCAGCGCAATCTTACGTCGAATGCGTCAACCGTACAACTTTGTACGCTTGCACATTGGGGACTTGAGCGTTGACCAAGACGACGTATCTTAATGAGAATTTTTCATATTTCGACTTTGGATCATAATATTGCTGTTCACGATGCACATAGAGCAAAAATAAAGACATTTTTCTTATATAAATCAAGCTCAAGCTATCAATTAAGCCTAGTAAGAACTCGATCCGTTCAGCGATTATTTCAATATGATAATCTCGAACATCTCAAACTATCCGACTCGCGTAATAATACACGGAGTGTCTTGTTGCTTACGCGGGACTTAGCACAAGACACTACCGTGTCTCTTGATATTATTAGTCTCCTCATATTATTTAAATGATTTATTTTTGATGTTGCCAATTTCAGGCTGCATTTGGTACTGTTGTCAAGTTTCTGTTCTGCTTCTATTTAACTCGCACAATAAGGTTCCCTATATCTCTCGCCATGGAGATTTATTATTTTGATAAACGTCTATTAACTTTGCGTCTATGCGACATTGATTTTTGATTTTATAACACTTATCATTACTAATTTTTTTTTATTAATCTTGTTTTTACTGTTCTTACACCACATTATTATTTGTAATTGTTTATGTTACATTATTGCGCTGAAGAAGGCTCAAAGCAAGAGCCAGAAACGTCCGTACCGTACATCTTTACTATTATTTTGAACTATTTATATCGTATTTAACATGTTTATATCACTTATAGTTTACTTTATTAAATTATTATTACTTTTACTCGATCTTTGATAATTTATTTATTTATATGCTCTCTATTGCCTATGTTCTTCCATTTTATTGTTAAATTTAAGAGAGCTATTTTCAATATTTGTAAAAGAAAAGATATTAATTTTAAATTAAGAAAATTTAGTAAAATTCGGTGAAAATTAAATTACATGAAATGAATCTTTAAAATATTCAATATTATTCCCAAAAGAAAAGTAAAGATTTCGACTCGGTTAATTTTAATGACTCTTTTATTAATTATTATACTAGCCTCTCCATAAGACAGCAAAAAGAATTATTTAAAAGAGAAAAAAAAAATATTTTAACGAAAGAAATATTTTAAATTAAATTAATAATAGTCTAGAAGTTTCTAGCGAAAAGACCGAATAATAACTTAAATTATTTTCGTTTTTATAAATCTCAACACAATCGGCAGTTATTTTCAAAATCTTATTTGCTCGCGACTCTCAAATACAAAGGCAATACATGTTCAAATATATAGCACAAAGAAATATCAGAAATATTTAAAATCAATACAAATTAACGGTGACCTTGTTATTCTCGAGTTCCTTGTTACTTGCGACAACGAATTTTCAACGGAAAAATTTTCAAATTATTATTTGCTCTGTTGTTAGTGGGCCCCACGTTGAGCGCCAATTTCTTTTCGTCATTATCAACGGCCCCACGTTGGGCGCCAATTTGTGATCGTTAATTTTATTAATTAGGGCTGATGATGAGATCTGGCCGGTGTTATTGGCCCACGGCACACCTTCGACGCGATTTCTTCTCAAATTCATCTCCAAAAGTTTTTGGGCGCCAGGTGCGGTAACCCGTACCATTTCAAAAAAGTAATTCGATATTTCGGTATAATAAACATGGAAAACGCTACTCAATTAATCGTGACGGACACTCGGCTAGCCCCGTCTCGAAAATGGCAGAGGGGGCAGTCCGTTTTAATAATTAACAAGGAAGGATCGAGAATAGAAGGTGGCTGCAAATAAGACAAAAGATTAGAATAACAAGAATGAATATATTTAACAAATAGATAAAGTTTAACAAGACAGATTCACGTGGATATTGCGAGATGATTTACAATCGATTATAGCGAATTTTTCCGCAGCGACGGGCCGGCATTCGGGCGCGATCACCGCGATATCACGTGTCGCGCAATAGAAAAGAAACAGCGTAAGAAAGTCTTGGAATGTTGCGCTGAACGAGACGTCATAGGGTCTCGGCCGCGACAAATTCCGCTTGGATTATTAATAATAAATACCGCGATGATGCTTCTAATAATGACATCCGTCTGTTACAAGCCGAAAGTATTAAATAATGACGGTTAAATTTGTCAAATGCGATGTTAATAGAATCGACTATTCAAGTAGGGAGAATATACCGGTTCTAACCCACTTTTTCCACGGGTGCGAGAGAGAGAGGTCTCGTAGAGCGAGAGAGATAGAAAGATATCTGAGGGGCAGGGTGACGGCGGCGGGAACGAGCAAGGGGAGTAGGTAGGGCGAGGGGAGCCGCTCGCCGTCGGGTGGGTAAACGGAGGGTCGTGACGTCACGCGGAAGGGAAGGGCGAGGGGCGGCGGGGCAAGGGGGAGCGGGCGGGAGAGGAGTTCGGTGCAAGAGCGAGGGAGAGGGCGAGAGAGAGCGAGGGAGAGGGAGAGAAAGCGCACGCGTCCCTGGATACGGCGCGTCGGAGCGTCTCTGGACGCGGCGCGCTAGGCGCGCGCGATAGACGGCGATCGCCCCGTCGGACGCGTCGCGCGACCGCGGGCGCCTCCGCAGCTTCGACGCGCGAGACGGAGATAAGGTCGACGTTAATAAATAAAATAGATGCGTTCGAAGTAGGAGGAAGAGATGTAATATAAAATATGCGATTCGCGCGACGGGCGGTTTATACAATATTTATATAATATTTAAATAATATTTAAATAATATTAATGTAATATTTATATAATATATATGCGCCTCCGCAGGCTCGCGTCGTTTCGACGCGGCGAGGAGGGAGCGACAAGCGGCCTCGGGCGTTTCCATCGCGTCTTACGCGTCGCTCGAATGTAAATTCGAATATTTTTTTTTCCGTTTGTAAAAAGGCGCGCGATGTATCGGGAGAGCACGCGGAGGGCGGCGGTGTTTCTCGTCTCGTCTCGTCTTGTCGTAGACGTCGGACGCGAGTTCGCCGCGTGCGCAAGCGCGCCGCTCGAATTTTAACCTAAATGTGCGCTCGTTTCGTAAACGAGCGTACGATGTATCGGGAGAACACGTCGCGAGTAGAGGCGTCTCTCTCGTCGACGGAGGTCGTCGATCCTTCGTTCTCGAAGATCGACGGAGAGCGCGTCGATCGGACGAGGGCCTCGTCGCGCGCGCGGACTCGCCGCTTATCTCTCCTTTTAAGCGCGATAACGAGAGAGGAGCGGGATTCCGTTAGGATTTACTCGCGCGCGCGCGAGGGATATTCGCGGCGACGCTTCCGTCGTCGTTCCTTCCTCTCGGACGCGCAGCGGCGAGAGACGCGCGCGATAACGCGCGCCGAATCCGGTCGAATGCGGTATTTCGACGGATTCGTCGTTTCCGAAGGCGAAAACCGCGCGACCGCGGAGAAATTTTTTCCCGCTCGCGCGACGTCGTCGTCGTCGCTCGAACGAGCGAGTATAAAGACGCGACGGTCGTTTCGAGACGCGTACATGCCTCGCGGATGGTCGCGATCGGTCTATCCGATCGTTTCTCGGAAAGATAAGTTCGCGAACGACGAGGTGCGCGTATGAGCGGCGCGAGTTCCGCCAGAGTCGTCTCTACCGTCGACGGTAGGGCGGCGGATAAGGAAGAGGAGTTGACGCGATAGGCGTCGAATTGAAGGAGAGCGCGCGATGGAACGTCGCGACGTATCATCTGAGAAGAGCCGTTCAAACGCACAGTCGGCGCGAGGAGTTGTGGGTCGAGACGGCTCTGGTCGACAGTCGCAGAGCCTATTCTTACAACTATGATCTAGACAGGTGGTTTAGAGCGAAGTATCCGAAGAGTTATCAGGATCCGAAGGGTTATATGTGTGCCGGCGAGTGGAAATACCACTCGTTCGATTATCCCCAACCGGAAGAACGATATTTATGGCCAGTCGCGCGCTGCAGGATTCTCCCGCCCGAGGATAACGCGGGTAGAACTCTGCGATACACCTACGATCGCGAGGACAGCGGTCGCGAGTACCCGTTCCGCCGAAATATGTTCTGCGACGTTGATTTGATATGCGCGAATTGTCATGAGCGAGGAGCGCGTCGATCCGCCGATCGATCGCTACGTTCGAGTGTTGAAAGAGAGGATCGCGTGGAACGTCGCGACCTATTCGACGAGGCGGGCGATCGGTCTTCGAGACGCGCGCGAGGAGCTGTGGATCGAGACGGTCCTGGTGTGTAGCGGAAGAGCGGCGAGATTCGATGCCGGAGATACGCGGGGATGCGTCGCGGGTTTTCGCTGCCGGTGAATTCGCGAGGCGAGACGCTGTGGATAAGGCCCCGCGGGGAGGAGAGAGAGAGAGGACGACGAATTGCCGTAGGGAGAGAAGAGGACGCGACCATGCAGGAGGAAGAGCGCCGAGTGCTCGAGAGCGCGCGCGGCGTCGCCACGACGGAAGACTATCGCGCGTGGACGCGACGGTGCGTGGAGTGTCTCGCGACTCTGCGCGAGAGGTGCCTAGACGCGAGTCGCCGAATCTCCACGGGGGCGAGGACCTCGCCGAATCCTGCGAGTGATCGGCACGAGGAACGATCTACGGCGACGCTTCGAGCGCGAGGGCGCGGGTGTCGCGAGACGCGAGGACGACGGCGGCGGCGGTAGCGGGGTCGAGTCGCGCGAGGGATTCTCGTGGTCCGAGGTCGAGACGGCTTTCAAGAGACGCATGTTGACCGGCGCGGTGATAAATCTCGATTACATCGAACCTCTGAGATTTCTCGAGGACGCGAGGGACACAGTGCTCCGCCGCGTGCGCGACGTCATGGGCCGATATCGCAGCGTTAAGGTGAACACGACGTTCAACGGAGAATTCATGTCGGGTGATAAAACCGCCGTTAAGACGATCGCCACGAGAAACCATCCCCTTCTACCCACGACGGATCTGCGCGAATGGTACGATACTCGCGTCGTCGGCGATACCGTCGCGTCTTTGGAGAAGTTTCAAGAGCGCGACAGCGGATGGGCCTTATCGCGCATACTCGATCTAACGGTGAACGTGAACGTGTACAATCCCATGCGGGCGAGGTGTCACGTGCAGGTACCGCGAGAGTTCCAGATGAAGAGAGCGATGGTCAACGTGCGATCCGACGACGAGGCGTGTTTCGCGTGGTCGGTGATCGCCGCTCTGTATCCCGTAGATAAGCACTGCGAGACAAGCTCGCGATATCCGCATTACTCCGAGGTATTGAATCTGGAGGGCTCGAAGTTACCTGACTCTGAACGGAATCGGACGGTTCGAGCGTCTGAACGATATATCGGTGAACGTGTACACCGTCGGAGAGAGACGACGCGGGAAGGACGGTGGCGGCGGAATTCGCATCGTCCCTCTTCGTCTGACGAATCAAAAGAGGGAGAGACACGTCAATCTGCTGTATCTGAGCGATGCGACGCGCGAGGGTAACGCGGTCGGACATTTCGCCTGTATTCGAAATCTGTCTCGTCTGATCAGCTCGCAGTTGAGCAAGCGACAGCACAGAACGCACGTGTGCGATCGGTGAGCGTTCGATCTCGGCGAGCGAGAGCGAAATATCGAGCTAACGTTTATTCCGTATTTTCTCAGCTGCATGCATTACTTTCGCACGAGCGAGAAGCTGTCGGCGCACAACGAGGATTGCGGCAAGCTGAACGATTACGCGATCGTTCTTTCCGGCGAGGACGACAGGTGGCTGGAGTTCGATCATCATTCGAGAAAGGAGCGAATTCCGTTCGCGGTGTACGCCGATCTGGAGTGCGCGTTGGAGAGGAAGGAGGGGGACGAGGGCGGGAGAACCAAGAATACGAGGATCGTTCAGCATCACAGAGTTCACAGCGTGGCCTATTACACGCGTTGCTCCTTCGACGAGGCCGCGTCAGCGTACAGATCTTATCGCGGCAAGGATTGCGTCGCGTGGTTCGTGCGCGAGTTGCGCGATCTGGCGCTTCGTGCGAAGATCGCCCTCGACGCCGTGGTACCGATGACGGATCTGACGCCTGACGAGCGGGAGATATTCGCGAGCGCGTCGCGCTGTTACGCGTGCGAGAGACCGTTCGAGACCGACGACGCTCGCGTGCGCGATCACTGTCATTTGACCGGCCGTTTCAGAGGTCCGGCGCATTCCGCGTATAATTTGAATTACAAGGACCCCTACGTCATACCCGTATTCTTTCACAATCTATCGGGTTACGACGCGCACTTTATTATCAAAGATGTGGCTAACGCGTATCCCGGCAGCGTCGAGTTGTTGCCGGTGACGAAGGAATCGTACATAGCTTTCTCGAAGACCGTTCGAAATACCGCGGCGGCGGAGAGAGATGGGGGAAACGCCGCGCGTTCGTCGTAGATACGTCAAATTACGATTCGTGGACTCGTTCAAGTTTTTAGGCGCCGGTCTCGAGAAGCTGGCGTCGTATCTCGACGAGAACAAACTGACGATCGCGCGAGGCGAGTTTCGCGACCTCTCGGACGACGACTTTCGGCTTCTCACGCGCAAGGGCGTGTTTCCGTACGAGTACGTCGACAGCGTCGAGAGATTGCGGGAGACGCGTCTCCCGCCGCGCGAGTCCTTCTACAGTTCTCTGATCGGCGATACCGTATCTGAGAGCGATTACGCGCACGCGACGCGCGTTTGTAAGCGATTTAGCGTCGAAAACCTGGACGAGTACAGCGATCTCTATCTGAAGATCGACGTTCTTCTGCTCGCGGACGTGTTCGAAAATTTTCGCGCCGCTTGTTTGGAGAGTTACGGTTTAGATCCAGCGTACTACTTCACGCTGCCGGGATACACGTGGGACGCGATGCTTAAGTACACGAGGGTCCGTTTCGAGCTGCTCACCGATATCGATATGATAATGTTCGTGGAACGCGGAATACGCGGCGGTCTGAGTCAGTGCTCTAACAGATACGCTCGCGCTAACAACAAGTACATGAGCGCGTACGATCCGTCGCGACCGTCAATCTATCTGATGTATCTCGATATCAACAATCTGTATGGTTGGTCGATGTGTCAGCCGTTGCCGTACGAGCGATTCGAGTGGGTCGACGATCTCGAGAGTCTCGACGTGATGTCCGTGACGGAGGACTCGACCGTCGGCTACATTCTCGAGGTCGATCTCGACTATCCGGCCGATGCGCACGACGCCCACGCCGATCTACCGTTTTGTTCCACGCGCGATAAGCCGCCGGGGAAGTGTCAGAGCAAACTCCTAGCCACGCTGTACGATAAGCGCCGATACGTCACGCACTATCGCAATCTGCAGCAGTGCGTTCGTCACGGTCTGCGTCTGACGAGGATTCATCGCGCGCTGCGCTTCTCGCAGTCGCCGTGGTTACGCAGATACGTGGAACTTAACACGCGCTTACGCACTAACGCGAGTAACGATTTCGAGAAGAATCTGTACAAGTTGATGAACAACGCCGTCTTCGGCAAGACCATGGAGAACGTGCGCAATCGCGTGGACATTCGACTCGCGACTCGATGGGACGGTCGATTCGGAGCCGAGGCGCTCATCTCCAAGCCGAATTTTCACAGTAGAAGCGTATTCTCGGAGAATCTCATGGCCGTGGAATTGCGCAAATTGGAGGCGAAGATCGACAAACCGATCTACGTAGGCATGTCCATTCTCGATATATCCAAGATTCATCTGTACGCGTTTCACTACGAATACATGTCGCCGCTCTACGGCGATAAGTGTAAAATATTGTACACCGACACGGACAGTCTCATTTATAGCATAGAATGCGAGGACGCGTACGAGCGAATGAAACGCGACATCGATAGATTCGACACGAGCGATTACGCCGTCGACAATCCCTACGGCGTGCCGCGCGCCAATAAGAAGGTTCTCGGTCTGATGAAGGACGAGAACAACGGCGCTCTCATGCTCGAGTTCGTCGGACTCAGAGCGAAGATGTACATGTTGCGAGTCGAGAGTAGGGGCGACACTAAGAAGAGCAAGGGCGTGAGGAGCAGCGTCGTCGCGAGAACGCTGACGTTCGACGATTACGAGCGCTGTGTGAGACGCGATATCGAGATGACCCGCGAGCAGTCGTGCCTGAGATCCAAGTTACACGAGGTGTACACCGTGCGCGAGTCGAAGATCGCGCTCAGTCCGTACGACGATAAGCGCTACGTCATGCCGGATTCGACCGACACTCTGCCGTGGGGACACTACAGGATACCTCTGTGAGGAGAGGCGCGGATAGATCCTAAGCGCGATGCGACGTATTTTTTATAGATATGCGTGATGTATTTTATAGATGTGCGTAATGTATTTTATTATCTTTAATGTTATACAATATATATGTTCGTTGCGACGCGTTACAATACGCGCGATGTATTTTGTTATCTTTAATATTACAAATATATATATTCGTTGCGACGCGTTACAATACGCGCGATGTATCTTTTCGTCTGTAATATCACGCGAAAATATACGTATATTCGTCACAATATGTCGGCTTTGTCGATCCACGAATTATGCGACCTGTCCATTCCCAGCCACTTCACGAGAACCGCGTCGCCCTTTCGGCGCAGCACTCTCTCCACGAGATACACGTCGGGATCGGAGACTCGCTGCAACTCGTGCTCGTAGAATCCGCCGCTTCGGCTCGCCGCGCGAATCCTTCAGCAGATACGTCGCGGGATTCGTCCTTCGCACCTCGGCTACGCGGAAGATCTCCGCGGTCCAATTCGGCGTGTATCCCTTCTCGAACAGCGTCTTGTACTTGCTCACGCGCACGGGATCATTCGGTCGAAATTTTCCCGGAGCGGCGATCTTCGGGTGGCTGTACACCGTCGACAGGAGTCTCGACGCTCGAGCGGGCGTCACGTCGATCGGGCGCATCCCGATGGTTCGATGCTTGCGAGCGTTGTACTCGGATATTAGACGCGGCAGCGCGTCGAGCCACTTGTACGTTCCGTTCAGCGTGAAGTACTTCCACATCGAGTTCTTGAGCGTGCGATTGAAACGCTCGACGATGGACGCTTTCAGCACTGAATACGTCGAGTAGTGATTGATTCCATGTCTATCTACGAATCTTCGCACCTCGGCGTTGTAGAACTCCTTTCCTTTGTCGGTCTGCAGATTCCTCGGGCGACGTCCGGAGGCGCGCGTCACGCTCGTCAGGGCTCGAGCGACCTCGTCGCCGCTCTTTCTCTTGAGCGGTACAGCCCACGCGTACTTGCTCAGAGCGTCGATGACAGTGAGTATGTAATTGTGGCCTATATTCTGTCCGGCGTAAGGACGCATCTCGACGACGTCTGCTTGCCACAGATCGTCGTATCCGCGCACCGCGACGCGGCGACGGGGGAAGTTCTTTCTCGCTGGCACGTGCAGCTCGTTCACGAGTCTCCGTTTCGCGGCGCTCATCTCGCCGTCTCTATTTTTTTCTACCCTCTCTTCGACTGTTGCTTATCAGGAGTTTTAGCGCCCAGTTGTATTCGCTTCGCGCGAACGTCTCGTCGATCTCGCTCTTCGCCGGTTCCTTCTCTCTTGCGCTCGCGCCTCGCGCGGAATCGTCTCCGACGCGCTCGGCGATGCGTCGCAGCGGTTCGACGATCAGTTTGAAACGCGTCTCCAAAGCGCTATCGCTCTCCATCCTTCCGGTCTTCAACGCTCTATGCTTCCTGCAAATCGACGCGCGCGTTCTCGCTATCTCTATCGCGGTTTTCTCGCGTCTATCGACGTCCGTCATCGCGCGTCGTTCCTCGGCGTCTCGCCTTCTCTTATCTCTCTCCCCTTTACGATCGCCGCCATCTCGGGAAGACTGACTCATCTTCGACGACGACGACGCTCTACGGCACGGCGTAATCGTTGAACCCTCGCCTGTATCTACCGTTGCGCAGCGCGCTATCTTTGTCGATCACTAGAAAACCGTATCGATATTTCCAACACGCGCGACACAGCGCGTGAAAATCCTCGTACGACATATCGGTATTCACGTGATCGCTGTGCACGTGTTTCAGATTAGTGCCATCCTGCTTAAAGAGTATCAATAGATTCGCGTTGTCGCGTATCAGATGTTTGGGTATCTTAGCGTACGATTGGCACAGATAGAAGCAATCGACCTTCGCGTGACGCCCCATGGCGAAGTACTCTCTGACGACGTCCTGTTTGTCGCAGGCCACGTCGTCGAACACGAATATCGAATTCGGCAACGCCTCGCTAGGCGGAATGATGTCGGCGTTGTTCGAATACGTGAAGTAATCGATATCCCGCATAGGTTTCAACAATTTCTCCAGATATCGATATTTAGGCTGATGCAACGATTTCAAGTAAACGAACACGTTTTCGAATCGCACGCCGTGCGGACTCTCCAGAAGGCTTATCAGCACGTTCGTTTTACCGCAATTAGAGGGACCGCAGATTACGAAGCGAATCGCGGTCGGTAACAGATTACCGTGTTTTCGCGGTTCCTCGTTCATCGAGCGCGTCTTACCGTCGACGTTGGACACTTTTATCGCGATCGATTGACGCACGAAACGCATCGTTTTCTCTCTCTCTCTCCTCTCGCTATTCTTCCTCGTTGTCGCGAGCGAATCTGCGTCTCAGTGCGCAGACTCGCGCGCGTGCGAGCAACGAGCGCGGATTCGCTTTCGCGAACGTATATAGAGGGAAAAAAAAACGATCGCGCAGTTAGGCGTGTCCGATCGACGGTGACGCGATAAAGTTACGCGCGCGCGCGACGCTTCGTCATGTTTATTGTATTGGTGAACGATTCCGATATTCTCGGACTCAGCGTCGATCAGTTGCAGTACATTCCGAAGAAGCTTCTACTGGACAAGTACGGCGATTTCGTCGATCGATTGTGGGAGAGATTGCCTATACATCTGAAAGACAATCCGGACGTGCAGCGTTATCGCCTCTGTCACAAGTATCACAATCAGCCGTGGCAAGACACGCACATCGACGGTCCGCCACCGTGCATCAAAAACTGCGGCATGTGCCGGGAGAACGAAATGGCGTGACTATGAGCGCGATCGAGGCGTATGAAGAACGCCGAGGACGCCGCGACGGCAGTCGTCGGCGGTAGCGGTTTGCTCAATAGAACTATAAACATTCTTCCGTTCGAACTACATATACCGGGATATCAGTTCTGCGGTCTCGGTACTCGTCTCGCGAAGCGGCTCGCGCGAGGCGATCGAGGCGTCAATCCGCTGGCTTGCCGCGAGCCTATTCGCGGAGCGACGATCTCGCCGATTCGCGGAGCGACGATCTCGCCGATCGGCACGTCGCGGATCGGGCGCTCGGAGCGAGAGCGTACGAGCGTATCCGGGCCGGGGATTCGACTCTCGGCGAGAGAGTGGCGGCGTCGGCCGTATGGGCGGCTATGAAGACGAAGACGAAACTAGGAATGGGTATGGCTGGAGCGGGAAGAGGCGCGAGAAAGAGCGGCGGCGGCGGCAAGAGAAGAACGACCTCGACGAGGAGGAGGAGGACGACGAGAGGACGGGTTCTTCCCGCGGCGGCTTCCTGCCGTTGTTGCCGGCGCTCGGAGCTTTAGGATCGCTGATCGGCGGAGCGGCCGGTGTGGCGAAGATGGTGAACGACGGTAAGGCCGCGCGCTAATTAGAGGAGCTGCAGCGACACAATCAAGCGATGGAGGGCCGCGGTTTGTATCTCGCGCCTTACAAGCGCGGCGGAAGCATCGCGAGACGAAGCGGACGAACGGTTAGGAGGAAGAAAAAAAAAAAGTCCCGCGCGCGTTAGACGACATCGTAGCTCCGATCGGCGTCACGACGAACGAACAGTTGAATAGCGCGGCCAGGCGCGCTCGCGTGCGTCACTTCAGAGATGTGTTCATGCGCGACGCGTTGCGGCGCGAGTTCGTCGCGACGAGAGTGGTATCGTGAACCTGGACGACGCCTCGGGGCCGGGCATTGGGTGGCGTACGCTAAAAGGGGAAAAGACGCTATCTACTTCGACGCTTTCGGCAATCTTCGGCCGCCTCGAGAACTCGCGCGTTATCTCGGACGCAACACGCGCATCGCGTACAATCGCGACTCTCAGCAGACGTACGATCAAAGCGTCTGCGGACAATTGTGCCTGCGCTTCCTTCGACGAGTCGATTGGGGAGGAGGAAGGAGGAAGCCCTTCGGTCTCTAACGGCGATAGCGCGTGCCATGTCGCTGATTTCACGCTGATCGGAAGAAACAACGTTCTCACGGCGAGTTACTTTCCGCCTCTCGATCTGAGCGACGACGATTACGAGCTCGGCCTGACCAATTTCGAGACCTACAACACGATTCCGAACGTGAATTCTCTCGATTCCGAACAATAAATTTTACTTCGATGACAACGACGAAACGATCACGATCCCGATCGGATCCTACGAGCTGCGCGACATAAGCGCGTACCTGAGAGCCGCGATTCTTTGAAGACGGCGACGACCGCCGAGCGCGAGTACCGGAAGAAGACGGCGGCGATAGCGCCAGCGACGGCGACGACGACGAATATCTGTACGACGTCGAGGACGCGGAGGACGAGAGCGGCGATCGCGTTCTCGCGCTACGCGGTAACGACAATACCATGAGAAGCGAAATCAAATGCGCGTACCGAATTAATTTCACCAAACCGAACAATATCGGATCGTTATTAGGTTTCTCCTAATCTCGCGTATTGCGGCCGAACAAATGGTACGCGTCCGACGAGCCCGTGAGCATTATCGCGGTTAACACGATTTGCGTGGAGTGCAACCTAACGACGGGCGCGTACGTGAACGGGAGATCCGCCCACGCGATACACGAATTCGCGCCGAACGTCCCGCCGGGATATAAAGTGTCGGAGATCCCGAGGCAGATCATTTATCTGCCGGTCATCGCGCGACTCGTGACCGACGTATCGCTGCGCGTCGTCGATCAGGACGGTCGATTGATCGATTTCCGCGGCGAGGAGATCTCGATTCGATTGCACGTGCGACGCAGACGATAGAGAGCGCGCGGCGAGGACGGGGGAGGGAACAGGGCGATGCTCATCGTGCGCGAATCTAGCGTCGCGACGTCGCATCGCGACGGCAGCGGCGGCGACCACGATCGCGTCGCGGGAACTCGAGTCGCGCGCTCGAGAGAGAGGAGCGTCGGAGGATTGTCCGCCGTCAACGTCGCTTTTCTGCGATCCATGGGTTTCGTCATACCGAGAGCCGCGCGATAGTTCGACGACATGAGGGACATTCTGAGCATCGACGGGGA